TTTTTTTTTTTTTTTTTTTTTTTTTTTTTTGAAGAAAATCTGTTAGCAATATTTTTGTATTTGCTAAATTTAAGCTTTCAAATTAAACCTCTAATTAACAATTTTCAATCTTCTGCCAAAAGCACTATTCTTACCGGTATTGACTTCTTCTCTCAATCTTATTTAGGCAAACACCACCTCCTCATCAAACATTCGTCACTCTTTACCTCATTTTCTTTGTTGATCAATTTTTGTCACATTTTACGTTTATTTTTTTTCCAACTATTGTAAACAAAAAAAAAAAAAATCTGTTATGTGCCAATTAGCCTAGACCAAGTTATAGATATGAGATAAAGGTAAAGGTGTTCGTTGTTGTCGTTGTTTGTGTAGTACAACAGAATCTGGTAGAGCTGTCATTTGGTTAACTGTATCCACTCCACTAATGTGGCACAGAAAGTGTACATGAATATTGTGGAAATTTTGTTTGAGACCAGTTAGTAGTGTACGTCTATTGGTGTATTAGGGTATATGTGTTGATGTTGGTGTCTGTGTTGTTGTCTGTGTACTGTATGTCAGCACATTTTTTAGCAACTTTTTTAAAAGTTGAAAAAATAAATAAAAATGACAAGAAAAATTTTTAGAATATTCTTTTTTGGAATTCAACTTCAATTAATCTAAGTTCTCCTTTCACCACAGTATTGTTCTTTTGCTGTGAAACAACCAAAAACTAAAAGAAACATCTTTTTGCTTTTCTGTTTTTTGTTTTTATTTTGTTGTTATTTACGGCTGCATAAATTTTGTTTTATACTGCATTCAAAAAAAAAAAAAATTTTTTTTTTTTGAATTATTGGAAAAAAAACAAAAACAACCATAAACATTACGCACAAAAATATACAGCAAAAGACAATTGTTTGTTGCTTTTGCAAAAAGATTTCCTCAATAAAGAAAGATTAGTGGCTCTGCGAAAGTTCTGTTGATTATTCCACCAGTCTTGTTATTCCGCTGACAACTATCAACAAATACTTACTCGTTGTCCCTCAGCAACAAGCAGCTTTCCAATTTAGCATCTGCAAAACCTTCGCTTCTCTCCTCCTCAGCTCATACCATTCAAATATCCAAGCCGTCTGTTGTCATCCACAAAAATTATGCCATTGAAAAAACGACTTCAGTCATTCTATTCACATATATCAGATGTTCCGCATACATCATTGCTTCGAAAACGAATGGTACAAGGAGAGTTGTTACCAGCCGAAAGTATGGAACGTGCTATGCATCCTAATCTTCGGCTTATTCTGCCGAATATTGAGGATTCTGCACCAAATCTAAATTCAGCAGCATTCCGGAATCGTAGAATGTCACGACGAAAGTCATATATATTTTGCAACTACGACAGTGAGGTAATGCTTTTTTTTGGCCTTTAATTACTATATTAGAAAAAACGGTAAAAATAAAGACTTCTGACTAACTGGTAGTATTCAATGTGGTTAGTGTCAGTGTTTAATTAACAAATAATTTGATTTTGCAAATGATCTACCTTTTATGATCAACTGT